TTAGATAATCTATGCACGTTTGATAAAATGTGTACACAGCATCATTGAATTTTTTGGCTTGTATATTTTCTGATTTTTCTAATGCTAAGACCACTTTTCTAATAACAATAGGAAGAAACCCCTCATTTTTTCTTTCAACTAACTTTAGCTTTAATTAACAAGTGTATCATCCACCAACTAGAGAGTTAAAAAACTATCACAAAAATCCCCATAAGAGTGTCCATCCCCTGTTACTGTCAGTGGGCCGTTTGGTTGGCGACACACTGCACTACTGCGCTCTATGTAGCAATGCAACACTGATCGTGATGGCATACACAAAACTAACTTGTTCAATATATTATTAAAATTTTTTTTTTAAACTTTGCGTCAACTTTACAAAATAAAGGACAAAATGCCTATTTTAGGAAATAAATAAAGTTAAAGGACAGAGCAGTGAAATAAAGGACTGTCCTCTTAAATAAAGGACGTATGGTCACTGTAACTATTGGTGTACTAGACCAGACTAGACGTTCACTGTGCCACGGTTTATAACTTTGTTAAATTTCTTCTGATTTTAATTTGTAAGTAAAATTTTATTATTTTTATTAATCATGAATTGCAAACAAGGCAAATGAAAAGCAACAGAAAATTAAAAAAAATTTACTAGAATCACAATAGAACTGAAAAAAAGAAATCGTTGAAAAATATGAAGGTGGCATGCGTGTTCGAGATTTAACTGTTGCATACCGTATTCTGAGAACGACGATATCGACAGTCGTGAAAAATAAAGACATTATTAAATCTGCTAACATTGCGAAAAGGGTTGAATCAATTTCTAAACAGATATCAAAGACATTAGATCATGTTGAGAAATTGCTTATGCTTTGAATAACTGAAAAACAGTATGCTGGCAACAGCGTATTGGAAGCAATTATTTGTGAGAAAGCTAAAAATATACATGCTGATCTCATGAAAAATCAAGCAGGAACTAGCCAGGAAAGAGAGGTGTTTAAAGCCAGCATTTTTTTTACATGAAAATGGATTAATCATTTTTACATTACTTCATATGGGAAAGGTTGGTTTGGTATACATCCTA